CTGGCTGCAGGTCAGGGCAGATAAGGGCCCGTTGCACAATTCTCAGACCTGTAGTGGATCGCAAGAGCCATAAACACACTGTCCGCCAAAAGCAGCGGAACTCTGCAATGAAGAAAGCTGAGAAATATAGGATGTGGAGCAAGTTCCATGCGGAGTCCATGCAATGCAGCGTAAGTTATATAATGCCAAATGAAAAGCAAATGTCAGATATACACATCCTAACTAACAACAAAAAATGATATGTAGCAAGATACAATCCTAAAGTCCTGGAGGCAATTGCCTCAGTGCTGAAAGGAAAAGAGAGCAATATGTCACAAGTAATGTCATGTCGCTGAACCACTAAGAGTGGGATGGTCTCAAAGGGGGCAAATGGAGCCTAAGAATCGAAACTCCTAAGGGCAGTCACACATGAAGGTGGGAAAGGTGATCAGGCTCAGGGTGAGGGAGTGGTAGCGAAGCCAATGACCCTAACAGATAGACCATCAAGGCGGGTAATGCTCGACGAAAGGGTGACACCATGCAGGGTCGACCATGAAAGGGGAGCCTGAAATAGGGTGGACATATGTGTAACTGAAGGCATGCAATGGCCGACAGTAGGGTGATGAGGGATGCAGTGGGTGAGAGAAACATGCACACAACTCACCGACTGGGGGAGGGAGCTAGATCTGGGAGCAGGGAAGCCAAGGTAACGCTACGGTCCCAATGCCTATGCGATACAAAGGGAGAGCCCAACTTAGAGAGACCCAACTAAGTGAGAACCATCATGCGACACATGCAAGGGAATGTACAGGGTAGGGTGGTGGCGTGTCCAAAGTAGTTGAAGCCGATAAGGTAGCTGAAGTCGTGGAAGTGGTCGATGGCGCCGATGAAGTAGGAGTCGAGTCCCTATCGAAGCAGAGCCGCAAAACGCTGAGATCCTGAAGAAGCTCATGATGGAGTACCTGAAGGTGTGAGTCAGTAGGAAGATGGTAGGTGATCGGAGTGTCAGTCCTGAAGACCACGAGGGCGTCGACGAGTGCGTTGCAGACGCGCGGAGGCATCTGTCTGCTGTTGAAGGACGGTCGTAGAGGGAGCAGGCTCTTCCTCAGCAATCTCCTGAAGCCGGAGGAGGAGGAAGAGGGTTAGTCGTCTGAGTAGGAGCCGATGTCTCTGCACGACGAGCACGATCATATGCACGCACCAACATTCGGGCGTGCTCCAAGTGCTCGAGGGGCTAGCCTTGTCATTAGGATAGCCCTTCCAACGGACAAGGTACTCGATGCGTGGAGGTGTATCGTTGGTAGCTCGGCGAGATGCGATGTCGGAAACGATGAACTCGTGACCGACCACCATGATAGGTGGAGGGCGCTCATAAGGACGTCCGACGAAGCGCTCAGACAGTCCACAATAAGGACGCAGCAAGGAGACGTGTTGAACATCGTGTACGCGAGCCTGCCAAAGGTAATCATGTAGCTTCACACTGAAGTTGACCGGACTAGCGACAGTATTAGAACCGACAGCCTAAAGGATGCAACATGGACCGAAGAAGCGACGCCTGAACTTGCGAAGCGTATCCGCTTTGAGCTGCAAGTGGCATGCGTCGATGAGCGTGTTGCTGGTGGTGCACCAAACAAGTCACCACCGCCCCAAATCCCCCTCTACCCTCAATGCCATCCTACCCTACCCCGCTTTGGGCATACCAGGGTGCAGAAGATGGCAGGGTGTTCGGTCCGTTTCTGCGCTCGTTATGGGATGGACCCTTTATTGCACGGATCAATCGACACCTGAGCATCGAATGCGAGCCCATGTTTCAAAGGGGGGCGCATGTTTATGGGCACCACGTAGTACTTCATCTTTGTGATTGCTCACGCATTCGCATATAGCTCGTTGACATGATGAGGCCGATCGCCGCCATTATTTATATAAATCCTTGCGCTCAACATCTGTCTATTTGTGCACTAAAATAGTTACGGGACTAGGTGCGATAGGCTCATGAACTTGAGTTTTCATTAAGAAGCGTATCACGTGGTTAGATTAATTGTCCTAGTCGACCATCGTAGGATTGCGCTCGAGAGATCAACGCCTCGAGCAATGGCTCGCGTTCCGGCGTTAACCGCTTGTACCTCCTATGCTATTGCGACCAAGAAACGCCCTCGGTTGGGCCACCTTTGCGATCACATATGAAAGGCCTTCCTACGTTGTTCGGTGGCTCGGTGTGATCCACCCACCTAAGGGATGGTGACAACTCTCGCTGGTGGAGGTAAGTTGTGCCTCACGTGGCCCTATCTTGTCGTACGGGTTCACGAGAGGTTTGGCTCCCTCACTTGGCCGGAGCTGCGACACTCTGTGAGAAGCCCTGCAAAATCTTGCGTGACGCGGCCGAGAGGGTCCCCTCCGGGATCGACATGCACGATAACGGTTTCAATCGCTGCAACACGCCTTAGGTATGCACCTCCCTTGGCTACTTCTCTAATGTCTTTCTCTCTCTTTGTGTGTTTCTCAATACTCTCTCTCTCTCTCTCTCTCTCTCTCTCTCTCTCTCTCTCTCTCTCTCTCTCTCTCTCTCTCTCTCTTGCATCGTTCTTCGCTCACTGTTCCTCTCTCGACGTCCTAGATCTGGCGTGAATGCTACTTACGGTGTGACTTGCTGATCTTGGGCGGCTATGGCCGCTGGGGAACCTCTCCCATCTTGCCTTGCGATGGTTGACTGTAGCAGCCAGGCGCCGCGCACTTCTCCCGCTTGTGCTTTTTCTTCGTCCAGGTCGCTTAATCGCACAAGCTCTTGCAACACTTCCACAATTCTGCAAAATGAACAACCGAATGCCTTTCAGCAGTGTAGCCCAAAATATATAGTTGCAGTGGGATGTTCGGCCCTATTTCAATCGGTGCCAGCTTCCTGCAACCTCTGCCTTTGCCATATTGCCATTTTGGGAAAGCTCCAGGCTGCTGCGAAACCGAACTTTAGGGACTGATGTGCTTGCAGTTATTTTAGCTACCTATGTACAACCTCATCCTATAGACCCTAGGCCTACCCCGCCGGTAGTGTGGCCTACCAGATTAATTGGGACCAAGACCTTTTGGGGACTGACTGTGTGAAATCCTTTCACCCACTTTTCCAAAGATCAGTTCAGTTTTCTAGCTTCTCGTGGAGCAGGGCAAAACAAAATGTAAAGAGGATTAACTTAAATGAACCAAGTACTCGTCAAATTTCTTCTCGCAAACATCAATGAACATTCACACGAGATTTCACACGTGAGAAGCCAGAGCTCAGAGAAAATCAACTCATGTGGAAGTCGTCACCAAAATTATCATTATTATACAAGAAATGTTTGTCTCCTGCGACTCTGCGACACTCACACACACTCAGAACTGATCTAAACTGGATGGCGACTATGACTCTCTCTCTCTCTCTCTCTCTCTCTCTCTCTCTCTCTCTCTCTCTCTCTCTCTCTCTCTCTCTCTCTCTCNTCTCTCTCTCTCTCTCTCTCTCTCTCTCTCTCTCTCTCTCTCTCTCTCTCTCTCTCTCTCTCTCTCGCTCTCTCTCTCTCTCTCTCTCTCTCTCTTTCTCTCTACGCAGTCTGGCTTCTCTCTAACTTGGCTCGCGTTGCCTCTCTCACTGTCTCTACCCTAGATCGTAACCATGGATACACCCACTTAGGTATGATTCACACTTGGGGGCTATGGCCACCCTACTCCCTAACTCCCACTACCCTAGCTATGGAGTAACTCTCAAATGCCCTCCTCTTTCTCCTTGCGTGAAGTCCCCAAGTTGTCTTAATGCACAAGCAGCAGCAATGCTTCCACATCTTGCAATTGAACAAGTGACGAGCCACTGCATTGTAGCAGCTAAATATAGGACCGGACTTGGCTTTTGGCCTGATTTTGAAAGGTACCGGTCGACCGCGGTCTGTTTGCTGCAAACATTTTATGGGTCCAGTAGCTTCCAGACTTTATTGGGACATGCTGCAAAATTGGACTTGGACTGGACTTTTCTTGTTGGGTACCGGACAAACTTCTACCGACCTACGTCATTTCGGTACCGACTCCTTCCAACCTACAACGCTTCAGACTATATTCCCTACGGCCTAGCCTACTAGGACACTTCGGGACCTTGGGACCGGGATTGGGGTGTTTGCAGCGTGAATCCTTTCTCCGGCCAGTCTAATTTCGACACTTCGGTACCTTGGGACCGGGATTGAGGTGTTTGCAACATGAACCCTTTCACTCCCGCCAGCCTAATTTCGAGGTCCTCCGAGAAAAATCCCTCCTCGGGCATAGATCACACGCTATCCAAGGGCTCAGCACAGTTTATAGAAACTTCCAAACTCACTCACTGGGACAAAGCACACACGCCCCACCAGATCGTGGCCTCATAGACAAGATATCTCGGCCGTTCGAGGAGGCAGCCTGAGGCAGGCCAAGGACGAGTCAACACTACAAAAGAAGACCCTGCCTCAATTTGCGTATTCTGTCTGGGCAAGTTTGATGCTGGAGCTCGCACGGTGGGCTCGTCTTCCCTTGTGCCAGGCTTAAGTAGAGAGATAGGCGAGGCAACCATAGCTGAGAGGAGGCTGCCTTTAGAGTAGGGTAGGCATTGCCTCCGTAGCTGCAGGAGAGAGGGAGCGCTAAAGGGAGGTGAGAACTGGTGTGTGGGGAGTGAGTCTCGTTTACCTGGTGCACTTCATCATTTCCAGACTTGTTTGAACTGGCACTCGCCTTGAGTGAGTGCTAGAGAGCAGAGTGATTGGAGAGACAGAGAGGCATAGTGGATCAGAGTGGCGAGACAGAAGCACGCTTGGGTGTAGACTGAGGGAAGAGGTGGTGAAAAGAAAATGGGAGGCGATTGGAGAGGAAGAACCTGGAGTTGGAGGGCGAAAAAATTGGCTTTGTAATCTTTGATTCTTAACAAAATGATTATCATTCTCTCTTCCATCATGTTCTTCTCTGCTCCTCCGTCATCTTGTCTTTTGAATTTCATGTTTGGTGTCCATGCATCCGAAGTGTTGTGGCATGAGAGCATTGAGAACTGGGTTGGTTCATTGCACATAAACAGGTGGTACGAGGGAGTGATGGTTTACCGATCCAGTGGCCTGGAGGCGGAATAAGCCATGTAGGGTATTTGAGTAAGGTTAGGATTTTGACATAGCGCTTATGACCAGGCATGACTGCTTCTGCCCATCCTAGGCATCAGGCCATAGCGCTTTGAAGCACACTCAACTATAGCCAGAGGTCGAGGTAGCGAACGAACCTGAGCGTGCCTCTTAGGCCCCCACTTCTTCTTCTTCTTCTTCTTCTTCGCCTCCTTCGTCTTGTCGTCGTCCTCGTCCTCCTTCGTCGTTGTCGTCCGCATCTCCTCCTCCTGCGTCTTCTTCTCCTGCTCCTTCTCCTGTTGTTGCTGCTGCTCCTCCTCCTCCTACTACTCCTGCTTCTTCTTCTTCTTCTTCTTCTTCTTCTTCTTCTTCTTCTTCTTCTTCTTCTTCTTCTTCTTCTCCTCCTCCTCCTCCTCCTCCTCCTTCTCCTCCTCCT